ACTTTCTATAGTCCAGGTGTACTTTCTATAGTCCAGGTGTACTTTCTGTAGTCCAGGTGTACTTTCTATAGGAGGAAAGATTAAAAAAACAACATGTTAAGATAGAAATAATTACAAATATAAACGGGTAGAGTAGAGCAAGTAGAGACAGCAGCAGCAGAGAGGAAATGTGGTCAGTTTGTCCTCCAGCATTCTAAGCCTATAGCAGCAGAACTAAGGGACAGCTCAGGAAACCCAACAACCCTAACTATAGGATTTATCAAAAAGGAAAGTCTTAAGTCCAGTCTTAAAACTGGATAATGTGTCAGCCTCTTGGACATAAACTGTAAGTTGGTTCCACAAGAGAGGAGCCTGAGAACTGGAAGATCTTCCTCCCATTCTGCTTTTAGAAACTCTAGGAACCACAAGTAAACCTGCAGTCTGAGAGTGAAGTGCTTTGTTAGGAAAATATGGAACAAAAAGATCTGCAATATAAGATGGATATAGGTAATATTTTGAATTATATTCTGACTTTGAACTACCTCTTACTTTACTTGTGCTTTTTTTTAGGTCTTTTATTTTGTAGTACCAGTCAGGAAAGACCAGCCTGACAAACCTATGACTGAACATGTGGACCTCCTGTGGCATCGTTCTTTGGCAACGTGGACAAGATTTATGTCCAAGCTATGAGGCCAACTGCAGAACAGAGCGTTCCTTTAAGTTGTTCTCCACCACATTTGATCAGTGTGGACTCGGAGTTCATTTAAAATGAAGCACACTAATTATCACTTCCAGTATTTTCAGGGTCAGATGCTTTTCCTGACTTCTAGGGGAGAAGATATGTGCAGGAAAAGACATGAAAATGTGTTTTCTTCAGCGAAGCTGCGGTGAATCAAGCAGAGCGGGTCAGGATGTAGCGGCTTGCTGTCACTGCTGCCATCTGCTCAGGGTTTCTAAAACCACAGGATGAGGTGAATCTTAAAACGCCCAACACAAACTGGGCAGCAGACGGAGATTTGACGGGAACAATGGAGAGAAAAATCCGAACATACAAAATCTCAAGGGATCTCACATCAGCAGTCACAAGATGGCTAAATGTATCATTAGCGTAACAATTATAAATGTCTACAGTTTCAGAAGTTCAGTGTCTGCTTCTTCCTCCTGAATCATCTCACCTTACTCTGGTGCTAATTACAGTAAAAGATGAAAAAGGAATAAACTCCCCATAAAACGTCAGTTTATAAGTCTCGATAAATATGCAGCTGAAAGTGACTCCCCCTGATTAAATATACTAGATGTAGAACTACTAGATGTCCTTATAGAAAACAAACCGCACCTTCAACAGATTCTTGATCATTATTTTCATCTTAATTTCAAGATTTAGCTTAAATCAAAGGGGAGTTGTTGGACAAAAACAACTAATAATGCAGACGCAGAAATAAATAAATAATTATACTATAATAAAATAAGTATTTTTGTGTATTCCATTAGAATGAAGAGGTCTAATTGAATGCCTTCATTAACTGATCGTCAGTGGGGTGGAGCTCCTCTTTGAGAAGCAGAGTGTTCAGGTGTCTGTTAACATGATGCCAAGAAGGAAAGGCATCAGCAATGAGAACCAATGGGTCTGTTTCATGCACAACAAACAAACAAACAAACAACATTTGGACTGAGAATGATGAACCAACCACGCGTACTTCTGATGGCTGCAGTTCTGCTTAGATGAAGTTCTGGTTTTTGTTTTGTGCAAACCTCGTTAAAACACTTACCGGCCAAATCAAGTCAAACATTTACGTTCTGGGAAGGGTCAAAGGTCATTTCCAAACTATTCACCACTTCTACTGAGAAAAGGTTATGCACAAGTGGAAAACTTTTAAGACTGTTGACAATTTTCCCAGGTGTGGATGGCTCAGCAAATTCACCCTGAAGGTCAGACTGAGCAGTGAATAAGGAAAATGGAGCTTTGTCTCGGACTCTACAGGCTTCAGTTGTCAGGTCAAAGGTTAAAGGTCATTACAAGATGATTCAAACAAAACTAAACGAGTATAGCTTGTTTGTAAATATTCATCTGAATGAACCAGAAAACTTCTGGAACATAACCAGTCCAGACAGATGTTTACCCAGAATGCACTGCAGCAAATATAGCAACTCACGTCCACTGTCAGCACGGTGGTGGAGGGCTGATGGTTTGGGCTCCTGTCAGTCACTGAGTGGACCAGGAACTCCTCTGTGGACCAAAGGGTTCTGGAGTCAGATGAGTCCATATGAAGCCAGGATCAAACTGGGTCCAACAGAACCATGATCCCCAACAGCTGCTGATCTACAACAGAACGGGTCAGAAAGAACAGAATCAAGCTGCAATGGACCTGTCAAAAAATATTTCACCTTTTCCGTAAAGGGTCATTAAAAGTGGAGCCTGTTCAGAGACAAAACATTTATGTTGTAAATTCACTCAGTGTCGCATGTTTTTTTAGTGTCACATGTTTTTTCCCATGTATCATTTCATTTTTGACACATTCTGTTCCGTATGTGTCTTTTCTTGCAGCGCCTGTGATTTACGACCTGCCGTGCGTTTCCTTCTGTAAATCTGTCCGTGTGTGTGTTGGACTGCAGGAAGTTGGCCAAAAAGCAGAAGGAAACCGCGAGCAGCTCCACTCAGCAGAGGGAGATGGGTCCGGTCACCACAGCTGATAAGAGCACCACCAAAGTGAGCACGCTGCACAAAGACGACCCTTTCTCCACCTCCAGCCAGGACCTGAATGGCTTTAGTGAGTAAAAAGCATTTTTCTGTTGTTCCCTTAAAACACCAGCTGTAGCTGCAGCTGGTTGTTCCACAGCTTTAAGTTTTTTATCCTGTTTTAACTTGTGTAGTATTTCATTTAATGATAATTTAAAAGGGCATCAATTTCAGCAGTTTTCCATGCTTCACAAGCTTCTTAGTGGTTTTTGTTTGTTTGTTTTTTACCCTCATATACTGTACGTGCACACATGTATACATTTTCTGTCTTTAGTTGTGGTCTTGCGAAAGTTGTCCAGTCTGCAGGAGTGAAGACGTATTTGTTTAAATGAAATGGATGCGTGTGGAGTAGGCAGTTGCTTTCAGGAGGACATTTTTCTCCTGAAAATGTCACGCCGGCCTTTTGGCTGCAGAGAGCGGTGGGTCTGAGCTAACGCTGCTCATGATTACCTGCACTCTTCCTCTGACTGGCCACACAGACGACAGGAACACTCCTGTGTTGGAAACACTAAGAGCAGACCCGTCTGGACGGTTTCACTCATAAAACCATATTTTAACCTGTTGAGTGTCACCAAACAAGATGGTGAAAAGGCCTCAGTAAATATACCCAGATGAAATGAAATGTTCTTGAAACCTTCGGAGTAAATTCAGCAGTTTGGTCTCTCTGTAAAGGTAACACTCTGAGTTCTTGTCATAAAATATGTAACTAATGATTATGTAGTTGTTAAAGGTGAAACACTCAAAAGTCTTTTTTTTCCCTCATCTGGAATGTTTTATTTATTTATTTATTTATTTATTTATTTATTTATGTTTATGCACATGGAGGGATGGACTGGAAGATTACAGTAAATGAGACTGCAGCATCAAGTCTTACCTATTACCGGTTCAAATTTGTTAACAGTAGCACCAAAAATGCTTATTCTGGACATTTTTACAAGAGTTTGTCCGTGCAAATTTCAAAGTGTCCAAATGGTGTCCAACATGTCCACCCTGTTGGACACCAACATCATAAATCTGTAACTCCTGAACGTTTCAACATAGTCATCAGTGGGGGCTCTAATGAGAGGTAAGAACCACATGAATCATATTCTACTTCTAAATTTATTGATTCAAATACAGTAAATTATGAATAAAAAGGAAGGAGGCACACAGCAACGCCCCCACCCCCCAGCACGACACGCAGCTGAAAACACAACAAAGAGCATAATTTACTTATTTTTTCCAAAGTCTAAGCAATATATAAACAAATACCAGCCGTTTATAAAAGGTTTTCACTTTTGTAGTAGAATATGTTCTGCTATACGACCCAACCAAAGCCCCTCCTGTCCCAGGCGCTCTCAGAGACACGTCTCTGCTCGACCTCTTTCATCGGTTTCCTCATCAGAAAAATCACTTGTCATCCTCAGCCACCTCATAAGAGCTATATTTTCTCTCTACAGGACGTTTTGCCATTCTTTAGTTGAAAATAAACTGAAAACAAAGTTCTGTTTGCGAATTAAAAAGGGGCCTGTGGGCTGGCTCAGGCAAAAAAAAAATCCAGAAGTCATTTAGATTTTTCCCACGGGCCGTGGACATTCAGGTCAAAAACACAAAGTTTGTTTTCTCAGTCATCCAGGTATATAACAAC